ATCAATGCTTGTCAGGCGTACCCTCCCGGTCAGTTACCCGGTCCCGGTCCTATTAGGTCCGGTCCCGAGTTTCATTCTTCTGGAAACCTGGTGTTGGGTTTGCTGGACAGGGGGCCGGTTTCCGGCCTCCGTTTTCCCCTGGCTTAGGGTATACGGGTGCCTGCCGGCAACCATCCTTGGGCCGCCCGTACCAGCCTGCGGATGGCTTAGCCCGTACATGTCCGGGTTTCCACCTGGAGGGAGTGGCGGTCAACCTTCGCCCTTTTGGCAGGCAGGCCAGTTTGGCCAGTTCTGGGGTCACTCCCAGCCCGCGGGACCTTTCCCTTATCCTCCGGGATATGGGAAACCCCATGGCATTTCCGTCGTGGAATCCTTGGGGTATGGTCTCCCTCGCGGAGACGTGTTAGTAGTTCTGTTGACACACCCCCCCCCCCCCCAACATTCTGCTACTTCGAGGGCCTTATCGGCCGGTCCTAAGAAGGTGTGTCGCACCTTTAGTACTTCTGCCTTTCGGGCAGGCTCGTTGGTCTCTGGGTTCAAGGGTAGGGTTTTGGCTACTAAGCCTAAACCTACAGCCACGGCCCTTAGGCGCACTGCACCTAAACGCCGGTACGGGGAGCCTTCTCTCGGGTTGGCCCCTCTGGCTGGCCCATTTCCTCCGCCCGAGGCTTTTGGTCTGGATGGTGTGGAGGCTATGGACGTTGAGGGAGCGGGTATGGCAGAGGACTATGATGATGCTCATCTTTCATCTGGTTGCTCGGATATAGACGCTGGTCTTTCCGAGTCGTCTGATGACGTTTCCCGGATTCTTGGGGAGGAGGTTTGCCCACCACCTTCGTCGTCATCTGTCCCCGAGTCCACCACCCTTTTGGGTTCTTTGGTGGCTCCCCGGGTGTCCGCTCGGTCCGACCGCTCTCTGCAAGAAGGCACCATTGTGTCTTCAGCTCTGGCCACCGCCCAGTCTCGGGTTTTAGAGAAGAATTCTTCTTCAACCCGTAGTCCTGGGTATGCTGGGTTGCAGCTCAGTGTTGGCGATTTGTCAGAGGTGCACGCCACTGACTATGCCACACTTGATGGCCTGCTTGCCGTTCAACCAGCTAAGCTGGAATCAAGGGAACTTGCAGCCGGGCCCGGTAAATCGGTGGACCAGGTGGTGTTCGGTCCCAAAGAACACCACAGGATGGAGAGACTGCTGCGTCTCTCCATCCAGATTCTGTCTTATATAGACTACCTGACGGTTTGTCTATATAGGGTATCCGACTTGCCTGAGGGTCGGATTACCGAGACAGAGCAGGCCGACATCAAGGACCTCTGCCCTGAACGGGGCATTGAGAGCGCTGGCAGCTTTACAGGTGTCATCGCTCGTCAATGTCTTGTTGGCTAGGCGGTTTTCAGTTTTGAAAAACCGCCCGGTCGATGAGCCTTACCCCTCCAGATTGTTTACTGCCACTTCTCAGGGTCCACTCGTTTTGGAGGGACCCTTCCTTCTGTTCAGAAGGATTTGAAGGAGGACTCCGTCGCCTCTGCGCTTCTGGTGAAGAGGATTCAGGCTGAGAAGCGTCGGAGCCAATCTTTTTTCCTCCACCGGGGGATCCGGAAAAGGCTCTGGCGCTCCAGGAGGAAGTAAGGACCATGCTTACCAAGGGCGCGGTCGAGGAGGTTCCGATGTCGGGATGCATCCCCGGGTTCTACTCCAGAATGTTTCTGGTTCGGAAGAAGTCCGGTGCGTGGCATCCCATTATAGATCTAAATGCCTTCAACAAGCACGTAGATTCTCCTCACTTCAAGATGGAGACTCCTCGGGGTATTATCGCCTCCGTGAGAGAGGGAATGTGGGCGACTTCAGTAGATCTGAAGGACGCCTACTTCCACATCCCCATCAAGAAGTCGGCACGGGTATATATTTTATGTCTTTTCAATATCAAAATAAAAGGTTAGAATTCAAACCATTAGATTCAATTATAATAAAAATGAGTATTAGTAGTTGTTTCCCCTAATTTGATTATTAATTTGATAATACCAACTTGTTTATATGTGTTTGTATGTGTTCTATGTCTATGCTTGTACCACTGTCTGTTACTATATTTGGAAAGGGCTTAAATAGGCTATGCCTGCTGCCCAATCCATTTGTCCTTTGACAATAAAATTTATTGAAATTGAAGTCGGCACAGAAGTACCTCTGTTTTACTTGCAACGGAAAGGTCTTCCAGTTCCGGGCCATGCTGTTCGGGCTCACGACTACACCTTAAATTTGGTTTTCACCAAGCTGCTGCAGGTGGTCGTGAGATTCCTGCACTCTCGAGGAATAGATGTTCACATCTATTTCGACGACTCCCTCATGCTCCACCTAGTGAGAGAGTCTCTGGTACAGGTCACCCGGTTGGTTCTGAAACTCTTACTCAAGGTCGGCTTCATTCCTTCCAGAGAAAAGTCGGAGGTTTCCCCATCTCAGGATTTTGTTTTTCTGGGGAACCATTTCAATACGGTTCAGGGCATCGCCCTTCCACCGATGGAGAAGTTCTAGAAGGCCAGGGCTTTTGCTCTGACCTTCATAGGCCGGTCTCAAGTCCAGGTACGTTGGTTTCTCAGTTTTCTGGGATATCTCAACGCCCTGGCCGATGTGGTCCCCTTAGGGAGACTTCACATCAGGCCGCTCCAAATGTTTCTCCTTGCCAACTGGGTCCCTTCTTCAAGGGATTGGGAAGCCTTGCTTCCTCTGAACCAGTCGGTCAAAGAGTACGCACGCTGGTGGACTCATCAGGACAATGTTCCCCGAGGGGTTCCTTTGTCCAAGCCGGTTCCCACTATGACCCTGTACACGGATGCATCCATGACAGGATGGGGAGCTTATCTCGACGGGCGTTGCCATTCGGGGGAGTGGTCTGGGGAACAGCTCTCGGAGCACAGCAATGTGCTCGAGATGAGGGCTGTTCTGTTGGCTCTGCAGTCTTTTCGGGAGATCCTGCATTCCAAGGTAGTTTGTGTGGCTACGGACAACACTACGGTTGTCACGTATCTGGAGAGACGGGGGGAACCAGGTCTCACACCCTGTGTGCCCTCGCTATCCGCATTCTTCTTCTTTGTCAGGAAATGCAGTTGAAAATTTGTGTCAAGCATCTACCAGGCAGGTTGAATGTTCTGGCGGATACTCTTACCAGGCGCCGCCAGCCGGTTTTGACAGAGTGGCAACTGAATCCCTCGATTTTCGAGGGAATTTGTCAGGTGTGGGACAGGCCTCACATAGGCCTGTTCGCCACTTCACTGAACAATCAGTTGCCAACGTTTGTCTCTCCTGTTCCAGATCCAAGGGCTTGGGCCGTGAGTCTCTGGATTAGGAGGGAATGCATGCACATGCATTCCCGCCCTTCAACCTTGTGGGCAGGGTGCTGCAGAAGTTTCGGGAGCATCAGTGTTCCCTCCACCTGATAGCGCCCCTGTGGCCGAGGCAGCCTTGGTTTCCGGAGCTTTTGTCGCTTCTGATGGAAGAGCCCCTGGCTCTTCCTCTCAGAGCGATCCTTCTTCGCCAGCCTCGGTCCAGGACGATGCACTCTCGTCCGGAGATCCTCCACCTTCACGCGTGGAAGCTATCTCAGGAGGCCTCGCTCAGCCAGGCTTTTCTAGGGACGTGTCAGATCGCATCGCTCGATCAAATAGGACTCCCTCACCGGCCGTCTACCAGTCACGATGGAAGATTTACAGTGATTGGTGTGTCGGCAGGAAGGTTGATCCGATCAAGGCTACTGTCCATGTGATTGCGGACTTCCTTTTTTGGCTGTTTAGGGACCGCAATCTTGCCCCTGGCACTATCGCTGGTTATCGCACGGCCATTGCTAGTGTTCTCTCTGTTCATGGTAGGTCGGAGGTAGGCTCGTCCTCCCCTCTTTCTGCCTTGATTAGGGGGTTTGGGTTGGACAGGCCTAGGGTCCGGCGAGGTCCTCGATCTCGTCTGTTTTTGCCCATTAAGCAGGGTCAACAGGATATCTCCTCTCAGTCAGTGTCTAGATGGATATGTCAGGCCATCAAGTACGGTTACGACCACTCGGATGATCAGGTTCGGGCGTTGTATAAGGTGAGAGCTCATGAGATCAGGGCCCTTGCTGCGTCACGGGCTCTCCTCAATGGGTCCCCCTTTCAGGAGGTCATGTCCGCGGCTTTCTGACGCGGACAGACTACCTTCACGGATTTTTATCTCCGGTCCTTGGCTTCTCATTCTGATGGATTGTATTCCCTTGGACCGGTGGTGGTTGCACAGTCTGTGGCTGTTCCCCCACAGTAATTCAGTGATGCTTTCAGGCACCACGGTGGTACACCTGCTCGTTTCACGGGGAGGTTTTTCATTTTTTAATTACTTTCGGGGCTTTATTGGGGGGGTACCTTGAACCTTTTCCCCTTCCTTGAGCATGTCTCGAGTTTGTTCCGTCAGCCTGGTCTGCTTGGATTCGAAGCCTCCACTACGGTAAGACGAATTCGCACACTAAAGTTATGGTAATTATTACTGAAATGAAATTGAGGTTTTTGAAGTAAAACCAATTTTCATGATGAAATACTTACCATAACTTTATGGAGTCCCACCTTGTATTCCTCCCCTTGCCTCCTCATCCTGGCTGCCTTTAGGCTCCATAAAAGGGGGTTTGAGGAAGGGAGATCACTCGATGGCACTGTCATCGAGATATAGGTTACGTCACGGAAGGGAGGTAGGGATATTTGAATCTTTTGTTTTTGGGCTACAAAGATGGGTATAGGTATTGTATATGCATACTAAAGTTATGGTAAGTATTACATCATGAAAAATGTTTTTACTTCAAAAACCTCAAACTTGCTAAAACGTATGACAAAAATATGACGACCTTAATCCAATATGTTTGATTTCGTTTAAACACATGGTCAGGTTCTCGGATAGCTCCTAGCCGAGAGACTGGCTTACATTTGATGTGAGACACTGTCTCACATCTGACACAATTGGACGTTGGTTATGTCTTACCGTCAGGTAATTCGTCCACTTGATTCTCTCTGTTGTCCGTTGTTATTGACCTTCAGTTTTGTGTGCCTCTGTGTTGTCGCTGTAATACATTCTGTCCTATTGTTAACACTGAGGAATATTTTACTTGTTTGTTCGTTTTTACGATTGTAGAAGAAGAACCTGTCATTTGTAACCTCTGACATGGAAGCAATTTATCAAGAAAGAAGAAACCGAATGTTGAAAGCATGTGTTGGTCGTGAGGCTGAAATGAAGGGAAAGAACACAGCAAAATATGTGAAAAACAATATAATAATTGATCAAGTGTTGGGAATAGCCTATTGTCCAGTAGAAAAGATTGCTTCGACATTCTGGAAACGTGTTTTGCGGGTAAAGGATTATTTATTTTTATGAAATAAAATGTTTTCAAAGCCTTGCCATATTAATTAGACGAATACTCATCAATGAGAATACAATACAATATTTATTATTTTCATAAGAATAAACCATTGTATTTAGTTATTAATTTCAGGGCTAACATTAAGTACATCAAAACTATTGAGGAATTGAATGTTTGGTTTTAATTGCCGAGCCGCTGGTTTCTTTTAAAGTATTTAAAATCACATTTGCAATAAGGATGCTGTCAGTGTCTGAACCATGGTATGAACGCTTTTAAGTGTGACTACCATTTAGAAGGAATAAAAAACAAACTTGTCCGGCGATTATTACCGAGTGTTTGTGTTTATTTCGCTATCGCAACGGACTATTTATCTTGTAGTTATTACAGATATTCATTTACATCAAAACACAGCATCTTGAGGTGGTGGTATTCTTCAATACACTGAACATTTAAAAACGTCATGACCAAAATAACGTATCATGTTTCAGTAGTAGTATTGTGACCGATGTTTTTCATTTCTATGGTTTTAGTGTGATGCAAAGTTGTTAATATGTTCGTCTATGACACTTTAATTCTGAAATATAATGAACATGTAAAACAACTATAATGTATCGTATTGCTTATTTGTTTCACAATTGGAGTTAAGATCAACGAAAATATATTTATGTTTATAAGATTAGAATGAAGGATTTATGATATTATGGCTAATTCAATACAAGTAGAATGAATGGTTTGCTGAAACATATAGTGATTTTAAAATGCAAAAAGTTAAACTTTTATTCTTGTACATGAAAATAAGGAGCTTACGGTAGTTTTTCATTAAATCCATCCAATACTTTATACTGATACTAACCCACCTATTTCTTCATCTTTCAGCTTGTGGTTGGGGAAGCACACGCTAAATCGCCTTTCGACAGCACAGTAATTGCACTGGCTAATTTCAATGACATGACTAGTATTCCGGAAGGCATGGTCGATAGATTCATGAAGGAATCTCTAACATTTATGTTTGTCCGTGAGCCGTACGGTCGACTGTTATCAGCCTATGTAGATAAGCTATTTTCACCAAATCTGTATTACTGGAAAATATATGGCGGCTTTGGAGTACACGTTACGCGGAATGAATCAACTGAATGTGGACATAACTTAACATTTAAAGAGTTTGTAAAAACAGTCTTATACGCAGATGAAGTCAACCAGAAAAGAGATGGGCATTTTACCCCTTCTTATGAGCATTGTGATCCTTGTCGGTACAAATGGCATGTGATCGGTACTTTGGATACCCTTTCTCAGGATATTTTCTATATTCTGGATCGCATAGGTAGAACAGATTTGATGCGATCACTAAACAAGGATTTCCGAGAGCAATATTTGAACCACACAATATTAGACCAGTTTAATTGGTTATTTTTTTTCCGGGATAGCTATGCCAATGATTGTAACGTAACGTTCTATGAGGCTCAAAAACGACTCTGGAAACAATTTCAAATCCGTGGTGTTCTCACAAAAGAATCGGAATTTCCCCTCACTACCGAAGAGAGTGAGGGTCTCACAAAGACCAAACTAATGAGTATTGTGTATAATGCGATGGGGAATGCGGAGAAACGGTCCAAAGCAAGAAAAAACAAAGCAGAAGCTATTAAAGAGGCCTACTCGACGTTAGACAGGGACGATTTAGATAAGCTTAGTAAAATGTTCCAACCAGACTGTGATTTGTACGGGTATGATTGTAAACCAGAGCAATTGTTCAACACAGAAAGGACTGTAATTGAACCATGGTTCTTTAAATATGATACATGACATTCGTACCCTCATAAAGGTATAGTGTTTATGTTAGTTTATACTTTTGGTGTAATTATGGGTAATTTTGGTTTAAGTTTTGGTGAAACATGGCTTGATAAAAAACGTATTTTATCTCAGCAGTAAAAACAGGGGAAAAGCGGGTACGTACTGATGAAGGATCAGTCTCACAACGTCTTCACGATCAGTGGTCCGCACTTCCACCCAAACAAATGATCCTATTTTTTATCATGAAATAGGCGAACTAATAGATGAAAGTTGGAAATATAGATAAACACGGTACTTACTACAGCCTGTGTCTTGTCCATGTATATGGGCTTTCGAACGGTATGATGGACTAGTTATCTCATAAACATTACGCCTCGGTGTCGCACATGGCTGACCCCACAGTCTCCACCACTGTGGCCTAGTCGCATTACACATATACACAAAACATATAAAAACATGGCAAACTTCCATAGAAAACGTGACAGGGCTTGTTGTACATCAAGGTTAGATGTTTCATGGCTTTTTATTGTGTAGTAAGTTACTATATGTCAAACGATTTTTCAGTTAATTATGTCATGTAACCATCTAACCACTGCTATGACATAGCTAGGAGAAATAACATATTTGTTGAAGAGTGTGCTGTATGGTTATTAAGTGAATTTATTTTCTTTTTGAAATTTGGAACTTTAAAATTTTGAGTAATATAAATGTTACACCAACCTACTAATCGAATATTTAATATCAAAGAACAAAACTATTTTTTCTCTCTCATTTCCGCGTGTTTAAGATAAAGCTGTCCAGGATAAGAAAGGGAAATGGTGTATGAAATTTCAATTTTACAACCCGTTTCACGTAACGTGACGTAACAATTGCTCAACAATGACGTGAAATCACGAATTATTCGATTTGAATATTTTTCTTTAATTCACATTCTTATTGTCGAAAAGATTGTTTCATCAATTTCCTAGGATAGATATTTTGTTTCAAGGGTTTGCAAATATATTTGAGCGCAAAATTATCAACACAATCACTTTACATAGGGCAATGTCTGATGTCCGATGTCCAATCCTGTTGACTTATTTGTCCATTTATTTTGACGGTCATTTTCTTCTAAATAGCGGGATGATGATGATGATTGCGTACCGTTAGTTTTTCATTCCTAATATAACATTTACCGACTGTTTGTGGAACCTCGTTTCGAGAAATACAGCATGGCAGTCCTCAGTGTAGACCATATTTGTTGTTGTCTATAAGAACCCGAACCTATCTGCAAAAACTCAAACTTATCAAGAGTCATAACAATTGCAATATGGATCGAATCTTAGAAAATCAATATTGTAAGTTAAAACAAGTGTACGGCGGGACACAACAATATACGCCTGTCGAATGCTATATATTGTTATATACTTTCTTACATTGAAATAAGATCTGCATCATTCTAAGAGTGGTTAGCTCTCCGGACAAAATAAAATACTGAAATGAACAAAGGGCAATAACTTTTGGAAAAATTGTCAAATCAAACTTTTTTAAGGGAGACACAACTTCATATCATGATTACAATGTATACTGTACCAAGTTTCAAAGAGATCGGTCGAAAAATGTAGGAGGAGATTGCCGGAAACAAAATTTTACGCCGGACTGACGGACGGACGGAGGGACGGAGGGACAACCCCATACCATAATACTTCCGTCAAATTTGACGGGCGTATACAAAATCCATATCAGCGGAGAAATTCGATATCATCTTACCGCAGATAAATGCTAAGTTTATTTCGTACTTTGCGAGCTATCGTAAACGTCTGTTTCCTTTGTCAAGCAAAAGTGTATATGACCGGTACATAGACTCTAAACAACTGAAAACAACTCGCGAAGCCTCAATATGCTGAATCAGTAAAGTCAGCTGCCAGAAATAGTTTACACTTTTAGCTTGACAAAGTAAACAGAAGTTTTCAAACGCTCTCAAAATGAATTTTGAATTTTGTTTTGTTTTCAAAATAAATTAAACGTTTATTATTCATACCTAACCGATTAATCTTATTCCGATTCCTACTGAGGATGCATCGGAACATTTTTGCTCAGTAAGAAATCTCTGGTGATTTGTGTTACATTTTACAAATTCCGTTTGATATTGTATTCATTCTTTGACTATATTACCCATTATGCTCATGTATATATACATTGTATACTGTGTAATTACGTTATTAGATTTAGTAAAAATACCCATAAATATCAAGTTCTTCCTTATTTACTGTTACTTTCAGCTCGCTCCTAAACACTGTCAACATATTTCAGGAATTGTGGGAGTTTGGAAGCAAAACTGTGAAAGGTAGGCTCAACGCCTATGGAAATTTAACATTAGCGTCGGCCCCCGCTTGGAATTTCAAAACAAGATAAATACAAAAAGGTATGGGTATAGGAAGCTTAAATCAGGAACAGTTATCTTCGGAATTCATTTAATGACAAATAGGACCTGATTGACTTATTGACTCATTGACTGTGTCGGTGTTAAAGGTGTGGTAATACAATTCCTTCTAAAACATTTAAATGACCCAATTACCTTAAAGTTATATCATCATCGTGTGCAATATATTCCAACTGTTTTTTTGATACCAAATATTACACTATTTCAAGAAAATATTGTTCTCTTTATTGTATATTACAGCAGAAAAGTATGTGAAATTTCATTACTAAAGAGAAAATTTCCTTTTTTGACACGTTGATTTACGTAGTTCTTAAACCAGTCTATTTTTCATACTTGCTTGAAAGTTGGCTACTAATAATAACTTTCAACACTAGGAATTTCCAACAAATATGACAACCGGTAAATTTGTCATATAACACTTTTGATTAAAAAAAGAAGAAAAACATAGCTTTCCTTCCACTTTTCCTTTATGTTGTGTTTCTTCATGACCAAAGGTTATTGGGTCTTGATATTTGGCAAGTAGTTTGTTCATGGGAATGGATTTAAGTTTTGTAAACATCGATGACCTTGACCTTCGTTCAAGGTCACACAATTAAATTTGCTAGAATAAAATTTTTGTATGGGGAGTCAGACAAGGATATCTTTCGTTACTTTATTTGTTTAGAGTTAACGATTTAAAACAATGTAATATTCCTTTATTTTTTGAAAAGTAAATGGGCAATAGGCAAGATAAAATAAAAACTAGAACTGTAAGGTTAACTAATACCACCCGCTCCCATATAAACGAGAACTGTAGGCAAAGGGCTAACTAAGACAAAGCATTGTAAAGCATTTCATACTCACCCATCGGTAATTGTTTAAGCATATAGTAGTTAAGAAAGAGTTGTCAAGACAAAGATTTTTAACAAGGGCCATAACTCCCGAAAAATGGTCGAAATGAAAAATACCGCCCTGATGAACGACATCAGGGGGTAATTCCCATATCTGTAAACTTTCATTGAAATCGGCCAAGTAGTTTTTGAGGCAGACAGAGTTTTTTCAACAAAGGGCCATAACACCTAGTTAAAGGTCGGAATGAAAACGTGCTATTTGGATGCACAATGTCAGGGGGCAGTTACCATATCTATAAACTTCCGTTGAATTTGGCGCCATAGTTTTGGAGGAGGTGTCTGGACAAGTATTTTTCAACAAAGGGTCATTTCTCCTTAAAAAAAGCGGTCAGATTGAAAAAACAATACCTGTATGCACAACACCAGGTAGTAGTTATCATATCTGAAAACTTTCGTTGAAACTGACCCCATGGTTTTGGAGGGCATGTCCAGACAAGGATTTGGCAACAAAGGGCCATAACTTTGTAAAACAAGGGTCAGAATGAAAAAAAATAATACCTGCATGCAAAACTTCAGGTGATTGTTAACATATCTGGGAACTATTGTTGAAATTGGTCCATTACTTTAGAAGGAGTTGTCCGGACAAACTTTTTCTACGGACAGACAGACGGACGGACAAGCTGATTCAAGTATAACACCCTTACTTCGTTGCGGGGGTATAATTAAGTGTATAACAGTTTTACTATTAAGGTTATGTTATTATCTTAAAACGATTGCATATCGTTGTCTATAACACAATCTCAACCTTAAGTAGTTCTCCAGAGGAACGATTACTTTGGCAGAATACATATTCATAAGTTATTACTGTTGAACAAAATTTTCAAACAAACCTTATATAATAAAGTGTTTTGGTATAATACAAAAACAGAAAATGTATCGGTATTTATCATAAATAACATTGATAATCAAATCTTCATGATTATGTGAAATTGGCCTTTGATCATGTTTGGCATGCTATAAAAGTACTTTACCGGTTTTGATCTTTCATAAAAATGATTCATAGACATAATATATATATGGAAAGTTTTTAAAGAAGTTTTAACATAAACATGTATTTTTACTTTTAGGAAAGGTGATAAATATTCATTTTTATGCGTTACTTATAAAAATTATATTCATTTAATTACCAACTTGAATTACACAACTTTAATTTGTTCCTTCTCTGTATGTCCCTGTCTGTGAAAAGTCGTTGTGTGTCCTCCATTGATAGGTTAGGTATTTGTGCTTCCATTACAAAAAATGAAAACTTCCCATTATCAGTTTGAGGAACCAAATGCGGATACTTGCGAGGTTCCAAATGTTTTCCTTAATAGACAGGATGTAAACATTTGTAAATGCTATGACTTGTGATCCCGGATTTGTGATTACTCTAATAATAAATTGCATCATGGCCAATATGAAATAATCGCTAAATGTTTGAAGAGGCACTTACCATTGTCTTAACCAAAGAAGCAGAAAATATCCCCGCCGAATTGATTGCTCATTTGTTGTGTACTGTCTTTATGCGAAAACATAACAGGCCTGTAGCGCACCTTCTTCATTTCATTTACATTCGATAAACTTGTGCAAATATTACCTTTGAGCATTTAAAACAAAACCTGCCATCCTATTCCATTTATAAAAGAAGATGTGTTCACTTAAACTACAAAATGTCAGCATTTAAGCTTCTTCGTCTTAACATAATATTCTTTTTCCCCTGCAACAAACTCTAACTATAAGAACGATCTAATGATGTTCCAGATAAAACTAAATTAATGTTTTGTTGCCTTGATCCAAGGATGTTCTTAATCATCATTAAATAAAAATCCGTTTAGCGATACTCAAAGAGAAGGATTTTAAGGAGATATTTTCCAATAAAGGGTCCAACCCTCTTACCCAAGGATGACACATCCTTCATTTATACAATGGTGAGTCTTTTCAGCCTAATAATTATCCACACTACTTTGGTCAAATTCCATACAGCCATTCTCGACTAGTAGGCGTTTTTAAGGAAAAGTTGAAAGATTGACGACGGACGCTGCACCGCGGTATAAGCTCTCTTTTTCTTTGGAAATTCTAATATGAATTGCGTAATTTTGTACAAAAAACACCGGACTTTACAAAACAAATAGAAAGATTTTTTAATTTTAAAAATCGCTGGATGTGAATAGAAACCTTCGAAAATAAACCTCAATGTTTTCACACATCAATAAAATCTTTCGATTATGTATCACATGATTTTGAATATATACAAATCCATCACGCAATTAAGAGTATAATTAACAAGTTTTATAAACTATAACAGAAGTCTGGCAATATAAATCACTTGAAATATATCAAATATTGCAATGGTGAACTAGCCATAACCCTTCGTACTAAATAGTATTCTCCTCCGGGAGATAAATCATCGTGTTCACGTCATACAATGTTGACGTCATACAATTCATGTATTGCAATAATCACAAACTCTACATCTTTACTATTCAATATATATGATATATGACGGTTTTACTGATATAATCCTACTACTTATATTGGTACTATCCTACGACACTTGCTCCTATTCCGCCAAAGATGAAGGTGACTGCCTCGCCCTGTCCACCAAGTCTGTCTACTGTACGTAAAGCGTACTTTCCCTCAATCAAGTGGTCTACGGAGGTGACATTCTTACTTAAAACTTTAACCAGAAGCCAACCATCCGCATACACCCTGTATAAAGCCCAGGACCGTATTGCTGGAGAATCCTCTGCTTGCCATGTTACAGCTGTCCCGGTCGCCAAGACATTTTGAGGGGTTGGCAATGTCCAAGTTTTATTCAGCCAAGTCATTTCTGGCGTAATGGAAGGATAATTGTATATGTGAGATTTGAACATGTCGCTTATCCTATCTGTATTTTGAACGAAATATTTAGCACTGAAAAACACATTTCCCAGACTTTGCTTTGATCTGCGGTCCCGTGATTCAATAACTTGTCTTTCTATCTCGGTAACGGGCCACGACTTGGTTACTATGGCTGCAGCAAAATTACCAGCATATATGTGTCTCTTGTGTTGATTTTGTTCTGTCCACCAATCAAGGAGGGCCGTGTAACTTTGAGCAGGAGGATCTATCTGCCAGTACAGTTGTGGAGTAAAGTAATCAACCCATCCATTCTCTAACCAGTTTCGTGAATCTGCATAAATTTCATTAACCGCGTTGAAGCCTACAACATGACTGGGGTGACCAGGTTTCCATATCCCAAAAGGACTAATTCCAAACATGACAAAGGGTTTTCTAGCATTTATGCCTTTTGAGATGTTTTTGACAAGTTTGTTGATATTGTCTCTTCTCCAATCGGAAAGCAACATCTTACCTCCATAACGACGGTATGTGTTGGCGTCTGGGAAGTCTTGGTCACCTACCGGATATGGATAAAAATAGTCATCAATGTGTATCCCGTCAACATCGTAACGCTCCAACACGTTCATGAAAACATTAAAAGTAAAATTCTGTACGCCGGGGTCGCCCGGGTCCATCCAGAGGTCTTTCCCATATGCATAGCACGCACTGCTAAAACGATGGGATATATGGTTTGCCGCCAAATCCGATCTCTGTGTACTTCCGGCACGTGCTCTGAAAGGATTGAACCATGCATGTAACTGCATATTTCTATTGTGAGCTTCTGTGACGGCAAATGCTAGTGGGTCGTAAAGAGGACTTGGCGGCACTCCCTGTTTGCCAGTCAAATAGGCACTCCATGGCTCGATATGAGAACTGTACAATGCATCACCCGAGGTTCGTATTTGAAAAACGACGGCATTAAAATTTAATTCTTCAAGTTTGTCAAACATTGCTATAAGTTCCTGCTTTTGCTGACTTGAGGAAAGGTGAGGAGATGACGGCCAATCGATGTTAGCAACGGTAGCAATCCATACTCCTCGAAACTCATGAACCGGCCAGTCAGCATCTGTAAAACATACAGTTCCGTAGAAATTCACCAATTTAACAATATTTACGAGACAATGATTTTCAAGTTTTAAATTATTTTCCAAGCGTTATTTGTAAGGGCGGGATTGTTGAACAAAATCTAAACTTCGAACTTTCTTTGAGCTCACCACTCTAACATATCGAACAGTGTGTACTGAAATCTATATCTCAATTGCAGGAGCATTAGCTGTAAATCACTCATATTTCCCGAGATGCATGTGTCGCGTAAGTTCAAGAGAAAGGTCGATGGCGATACGGAGACGTATATATTTATTTCACGATATCGAATCCTCGCGAGTATACCGTGTACCAATCACATTCAAACAATTCTAGCTATTATGAGATCGGATAGTATGCATGGAGCTGCCCACTATGAAGGGCGAGAAAAAAAGCGGGTGAAAACAATAAGCGCAAATTTCGTTTTGAGGACTCAATACATAAATGTATATATATAAAAAATAGATCTATAACCTTTGTAATTATCGTAGATCTTTTCAAAGGACATCTTTTGGAAATCCATCAATTGATCTCTTAATGTGGTGTCTAAACACATTATCTATACCCTGCTAAACAAAACGTTTAAATATGGTTTTTAATTTCAATTTTAACAGGATTTTATTGATTTTCGTATATGTCAATTGAATTGGACATCGAGCTAGATGTATGTACAATGTAGGTATATTCTATCACAACAATCCAAATAAGCAGTGTAGGGGAAATAACTCAAATTTAGCTTGTGAAATAAATATGTTTAACTATTCAATATTCATTTATCGTCTGTTTGTTTATGTTTTGCATATTAATAATTAGCAAATCATGTATATTTGTTGATAACACATCCTTCATAAAATCCATGGGCTACAGGCCCAAAAGTACCTGTGTATAAACACATTGGCTATCCACCCACTGGATATATAGGAGAAGTTGCTGTACCAAGACGTACATATTTAATCTGTACACGTAAAACAACATAAACATTGATTTAGTATGCTTTAATGTATTTGAATTCGAGGTATAATAATAAGATGACGCATGCAAAAGAGCTAGGAAATGGACTGACCTTGACTATTCACGTTCGTATTCCCTGACGTCATGATCGCGAGCACCAAGCTAATGACGGTTATCTGTAAAAGTTAGGACAACATAAATAAAACAGCATAAAAATACAGATATACTGGATAAATCTGGTATAGGTAAGGACATGATGAGGACAACAATAATAATATGGCTGGTAGCCAGCCTACCTGTTGGCCCGTCCTCATGTTTCTATAGTTAGAAGTCTCAATATTCGTCACGCACATAACCTAGAAGATCATGTGAACACTTTGGTGGGGCTAAATTGGTCCACACCTGGTTAGTTTAACGACAGGTTAACAACTTTTTAACAGGAAGATATTCATAATTGAGCATTTGTAAATTAAATGATTAACATGTTGATGTTTTCGATAATAATTATACAGGCTATACATTAAATTTATAAGAATCAATAAACTGAAAAATATATGTAGATGAATAATGAATTCGTTAAGCGTGCAACATGATTCTGTCAACTAAATGCTTGGATAGCTTAACTGTGCGTTGGTATGTTTTTCCAATGCAGGGCTATTGTATCAAGCTAACAATGCGTACTACAGATAATCGACGGCGAATCAACCTAGATAAGGCTAGTATGTGTATACACGACTGTGTTACACAGAGTAAGATCAGATACGGTTATATCGACGATGACCTAACAGACATTGTATACGTACCTTATTAAGGAATCTTGAATGGTATAATCGCAAATACATCACCATATATATCATTCACCAAATATTCCCAATATCACCATATTAACGAATCTATCGCGAGTTACTTCCTTCTTTAGTATGACGAAGTAATCCAAACATGTATACATCACAGGTTTATATAGTGACTTCCTTGTTCACAAGGGGCTTTCTTGACTGTTGATACAAGTTTTATGAGGCTTAACCCGGATCTATATATAACTAGATTATATCGGCTTGTTGACTATAAATAGAAAAGATGTACATAAAGAAAAAGGCACAAATAACCGAATATCTTGTTGATACTTACAAAATGTATTTGGCCGGTCAATAGGAGTTATATAATTAACATCCAAAGGAAAGGACTTTGTGATCGTCATACCAATGATATATACCAAAGAGATTACATCAGCGAAAAAGCTCGTTATAGACAGATTGTAAACATGATCAGGTGGACTACTTGCTTGACAGTGCATAGGAATGATATAACATAATAATTCTGTCCGATCGTACATGTTTACTCTATTGATAATATAACTTAAGCATTGAACCCTGAAAGATTATCCTGCAAAAAATCCTTCCATTTCATTTGAACCACATCTACCCGTTTACATTAATGTGATATTTAAGGACATTCTTAACAGACCGTCAACACAGGATAAGTCATTAAGGAGAATAAAAGGTCGACAACACTTGTTAAAGTAAATAATATAAGCAAACAAACAACTAAAAGACAAAAGTTAAAGTGACTATAATCAGTTATACCTGTTTTGAACAGACTAGCAGTTATTATGTAGTTTATAATTGTAGAGACACCTACTGTTTCTAAAATACAACAAGAGAATACAGAAATGTCACTCGAACCAATAAAATCAGAGGCACATAAGAACATAAAAATTATTAACATGGACACTCATTTCCATCGCCTTTATAAGTCTGTATCTTTAGAAACTCTGTGTTATAAGTTTGTTCGTTAGTAGTCGACATCTATCACGGAAGTCGTTTTATTTGGCGCGATATTCGGAGTGAGCTCTTGAGCACCGATTCAATTGTGACATGTAAACATCGTAAGTAAGGAAAATCTAGATCTCGCTATGAAGAAAGGGAAAATCACGATCGGAAAGTCGAAATCACCACGCTTACAGTACAGATAAGCAGTAAGCCGTCTATGTTGATCATGTTGTAAGTTAAGATCGAGAAAAGTGACTGAAATAGATAAGTCAGGATCCTTGATTGAAACCTCTGGAAAATATACGACATATGTTGTCTATGAAACAGATATACATAGAGTAAATCGGCCACATGAGGGACACAGTCTGTTCCCGTGGTAATGCCTAGTCTGCTGAAACATTTGCCAACATATACTCAACAAATATATTGTCAAACAGGATCTCAAACATTTTCAAAATATTGTCCTTAGTATATTTCATATTGAAATTTGATGTATTTTTCACAAAATATGCTCCAGAATAATTCACAACCGTATATTTATATCGTCGTACGTCTTTCTTTGAAAAGAAAAAGATCTCATAACCAGAGAACGTCAGCGTTCCTGCAGTTTTGTATGAGGAATTGTAGTGTAAAGGGTTGAAAGGTCAAGAGGATATTCAAGATTGATCAAAGATATTTTGAATTCTTAAAAATTCCCTAACCGTTTATTACACTTTTTAAGTATTCTGTTTCACAATACGACTGCAACACTGATTTAATGATACTGGACATGGTAATGAACATTTTGGAAATGACTTGGTTGAATAACTAGAAGAACCAGCGACAAAACGTTGTTTTTGAGGAGAGTGGTGAAGTTATATAATCAAATGTAAACGAAGTAGGTCATTATCCTGTCAATAGAGCGTGTTCGGAAAGATTGTAATACAGAAGCGTGATTTGCTAATATTTCCATTTCGACAAAATGGAAAACGTATAGGTATAGTGTTCCCTTGGTTATCTAGCAAGCCTAGTACTTTCTTCTAGTAGGTAATGTAATAGTGTTTGCAGACAAAAACATAAATATTATACGACATAATCTAATTACTTAGGATATATATCTTACTGATCTATAAACGATGAAACACTAGTCTAGTTTAGATCAGTGAGCGCTGTATAGGGTCTTAACTTAACCTTCCTATCAGCTCCCCAGTCAGTATGGGTGCAACTTTGCGACGTTTCAATGTTAAGCACTTTACTGCATTTTGCTTTAGCTTATTTCATCTGTAGACGGATCGACGACAGTCTAGCAAATATAAAGCCCATGAACTTGGATTGTTCAAATGTGGCAAAGTGACTTGAGGGCGATATTTGCACCTTTATGGACTTCACGTAATGACAAAATGCATGAACACCATTTACATGGAAAAAAAATAAAACCGCTTGCATCGGCCTATCTTTGAGGTTTGATTAAATATTGCTGTCCTGGATTATTTTTTCCAATTTGATTAGAAAGTGTCGTTCTGTTCTGTATTTTAAATGAAGTTTGGTAAATTATCTCTAATACCAGCTTCTTGTATATCTTTTATGATGCCGTATTTACACATTGAGTAATAAGCCTTTTCTAGGTTAAAGAGGATAAGTAAGCCTTTTAACGGTTAACGAAGACATAGACAAAATTATGCTTCTTTAGAAAAGCCTCATGAACAAAGGTTTCAATTTGAACCAAAAGATTGTTTGTACCTCCTTGATCTAAAACAACTGTGATGTCGTGATATTATGTTATTCGACTCTAAATACCATTACACATTGGAATGGTATAGTGTGCGTAACATTGATTGCACATTGGTATGATATAATGTACGTAACATTGATTACACATTGATATGATATAATTAATATACGTCTATTTGATTACACATAAGTATGATATAATGTACGTACAGTAACATTGATTACACATTGGTATGATATAATGTACGTTATATTGATTACACATTGGTATGCTATAATGTACGTAACTTTGATTACACATTATGCTATAATATACGTAACGTTGATTACACATTGGTATGGTATAATGTACGTAACTTTGATTACACATTGGTATGCTACAATGTACGTAACTTTGATTACACATTATGCTATAATGTACGTAACTTTGATTACAATTTGGTATGGTATAATATACGTAACTTTGATTACACATTGGTATGCTACAATGTACGTAACTTTGATTACACATTATGCTATAATGTACGTAACTTTGATTACAAATTGGTATGGTATAATATACGTAACTTTGATTACACATTGGTATGGTATAATGTTCGTTACTTTGATTACACATTATGCTATAATGTACGTAACTTTGATTACACATTGGTATGGTATAATGTACGTAACTTTGATTACGCATTGGTATGGTATAATGTACGTAACTTTGATTACACATTATGCTATAATGTACGTAACTTTGATTACACATTGGTATGGTATAATATACGTAACTTTGATTACACATTGGTATGGTATAATGTACGTAACTTTGATTTCACATTGGTATGCTACAATGTACGTAACATTGATTACACATTAGTATGGTATAATGTACGTAACATTGATGATTATACATAAGTATGATATAATGTACGTACATGTAAGTTCGATTTCATGTTGGTATGATATACTATACTTAACTTTTAATACTCATGGATTGATGTTTCATATAAAGATAATCTCAGTTAAGTTTCCATTATTTATATTTTTTAATGAAAAAAACAAATTGAGAATAATGTGGAGATTCGTTTTATCCTTTGGGTTTCTGAGCGATTGCAAAATACACTTGCAATACATTTTTTCATTACAAAATTTCAAATAAAAACAAAGAAAATGTCATCAATATTGTTTTTCACTGTCATGTCGTTATCTTTATGTTGTACTTATGACATCACATGTATTATTACATCAATTATGTGACGTTGTTATTACGATGAGTTACAGGGAGATCTCATGACCAAATACATGTGTGTTATTCTCCTGATCACAAATCGAATTTATATATTTCTTTGAATATTTAGTTTTGAACTATTTGCTTAATAAATCGATTAGCAAACATGTGTATATCCAGTTGTGTTGTCGTTAGAACAAATAAACAATATACTGAATAGTTATATTTGCGTTGTTAAGTTATACATATGTACATGTATATGTATACTATATACAATGAAGTTGTATTTGTGTTAATTTTACAGCAAGGAGGGTGCATGTTTTTCATATTTTAGACTCCTCATATGTAAAAAAACGAACCACTATATTTTAGCTCTCCTTGAACAAAGTACCTGTAAGATACTGTGATGTCACGGCGTCTGTCCTTTTATTGTCTGGCATCAACTATAAGCAGCCTCTTCTCAAAATCCATAATGTTTAGGTATTGATACTTGTACATGTAGCTGCAGCAGTCTAGGGTGAAGTATTTTATACAGGGGACATTCGCCAACTTGCATGATCGCAAGGGTAAGATATTTATACATATATAGAACAATATATCATCAAAATAACTTTTTCTCTGGAAACTATAATACAAGAATTAATCAAATTTGGCCCAATAGCTTCAGTCTGTTTATTGGATTTGATAACAGAATCATTTAAAAGGATTTTAAGCTCAGAGGGGCCAAATATTTAAAAACAAAACCCACATTCTTGTTAAGATTTACATGACCTAGAGAGAATATATTTGACTCTTTTTGGATGAAAGGATATCAGGTGTTACTTGAATGAATGTCTAATTTCAATGTTAGTAACAAGGTAAAACGATACTGACCCTGCTGGTAGAATATCAGTTCCCGAGGTAGGCCGTAACTTTCTGTAACTTAGTTAATAGTTTTATAAGCACATTTCTCTTTTGACGTGCTCCTACATATATTCACTGTTTTGATCCCAGAACAACTGATGAGTCCTAAATGGACAATTTGGCTATTCAGTGCAGGAAATATGTTAATTGGCTTTAGATTTCTGCATCAGCAGACTAATTGTTTTATTAGAGTTGATGTTCATGGAGCATCTACTATCGGCTCGCGGAATCGGTCCTGATGAGAAGAAAGTCCGTGCAGTGATCGAGACTAAACAGCCTTCAATGTAACAGTACAGGGGAGGTAAGAGTTTTCTCTGACTAGTAAACTATGTGGGAAGGTTTATCCCCGATCTATCTACAGTGGCCGAACCATTGAGTAGACTCACTAAG